GCTATTTGAAATAATAATGCGTAACAATTATAAATATTTTAGTACACCGCACGCTACAGTAGTACCTAGATTCCTTTCGAAATTTATAGAAACAATTGTTATGGACTGTTATAAAAGAATACGAGTTATATCTTGAAAGCTGACTTTTGTATTTCATTTTTTAAGTAAAAGGTGTAGTCTGACCAAGATAAAAGTTTATTTTTTAAATATTTATACGATTTAATGGAAAATTACAGATACAAAAACTGGTAAGAATTATATAAAATCTATATTATTTGTAGCTAGAATACTTATCTGTCAAAATATATGGAAAGTGAAAAAAAAAAAATCCACGAATAAATGGTTTACTGTTGAGATCTACAAAAGCTCCGAGAAATAAAATGGATCATTTCTACTTCCCCAAACGAAGGATAAAGCTGGTTTTTAGTTACCTTATTGTCATATTTACATAAATTGGTTTTAGCATGCATAACGGCTTGCTGTAAGGTCGCCCTTCCAGTTTATTGTATAATCAATTATTCATCTGATTATATAATAGGAATTTTCAAAAGGCATTTGTTTGTTTTTTCTCCTGGTTTTTCTTCCTGAAAAAAATGAAGTTTTAAGTTAGGAAATAAGCTGTTAAGCAGGATTAAAACCCTTCATAACGACCCTGAAAATTATATTATTCAAATCGGCTACTTCACCAAAATATTCAAGTTGTACAAACGTTGCTCTTGTGACATCATAGCTGTCGGTAAACAATTGTTATATATATCTTCATTGATGGGAAAACGAATGTATACATGATTGGAAGGAGATTTTATTTGTTTAGTGAAAACTTTAAAATGCATGTTTTATTACTTCTATGGTATATTTACAACATTACTCATATGTTTACTGCTCAGTAGACTGGAGAGAGTAAATAACTTTATACTTTTTCAGTTATGTTAACATTTTCCCTACAAAAGCTGTTACAGTAAAAGCTTTCAATTGGGTGGCATCTTTTTACAAACCTTGGGGTAACGGTGGTTGTAGAACAAAAGCGCCCTTTTTTGTCTAATCTACATCTTTTATATACTGAAGTTCTTGTGATAAATATTCTTTTGAAAAATGTTAAGAAATAAACGTTTATGCTATACTTTATTTCTTATGGTTCAATGCAATATTTAGAAAATACACCGATTTTTCTAGTTCGTTTTGATATGTGAAAGCTATATATAGTGAAGGCAAACCTTAAAATTACAAAATATTGCCTCCATCCCCAGTGGCACAGCGGTATGTCTGCGGACTTACAACGCTAGAAACAGGGTTTCGATACCCGTTGTGTGCAGAGCATAGATAACCCATTGTGCAGCTTTGTGCTTAACTTCAAACAAAGCAAAATATTTTCTATGCTGTAGACTACTGCACTGGTAAACATACTTACATTGGCTAAGAAGGTTGAAAACTACCCTTCAAGTTTCAGTAATGTAATATTAGATCTTCATGATTCTAATAACAGTATATACCGACCTAGATATCTTAGGTTCACTGGGTTGTTCTTATTACAGATATTTGACAACAATGAGAGTTTGAATGAAATCTTCGGTGTATAAATTTATCATATCTAGTGGTTTGTTTTAATTTATATTCTATTTTATTAGCTGTCCTTCAATGTCATGACGGTAAGTCTGAAGGCTTATAACGCTAAAAACCTGGTTTAGATACCCATGGTGGGCACAGCAGAGATAATACATTGCGAAGCTTTGTTCTTAACAACAAACAAACTTATTAGCTCGTCTGTTTCACAAACGAAAGCCTAAAATCGTAAACATTCTGAGAAACTACTGATGAAACAACTGACTTTTTCGTATGCCCTTTTTGTGAAAAGTAAACAAACAAAAAACATATTCAATAAAAAAACCTTTATAACTGTATTTTATCTGTTTCTTTGATATTTCTGAAGGTTTAAAAGAAACATATGAAAATATTTTGCTAGCTTGAGACGTGTATTGATAAAGTAGAATTTGTGGTACTAAATCATTATTGATTATTTAATTATTTACGTTTTTTAGACGAAAGTGTTTGATTTTTTATATATGACATGAAATTCACTTTCGTGATGTTGGTAGATAAATATTTTTATTCAGGTGTTAAAATCTAGGGCTTCAGCACTTCTAAAAAGTACGTAAAAGTGTCGCACATGAATAATCAGGTAATTTCGAGTACAGATTTACAAAAACAAAAACAAAAAACATTATTTATTCTTTTCTAAATATATACAATTTCTAAGACATGCAAAATAGCAACAGAGAGATTTTTTTGAGTTAGTGGTTAGGGCGCTTAGTGCATGCAGTCAGAATCTCTGTCAAGACGCGCCTTCTTGCAGCTCGGATTTTCACTTTAGAGACAAGTTGATGAGATGAACTTATATCCAAAATCTCTTTACCTTGATCGAGATAAAGGTAGGTATTCAAAGAAGGAACGTTCATGGTGCGTAAATTGGTTTTACTAGGCAGAGTTGTACAGCTTGTGCTTCTAAATAAATAAGTTATAGAAAGCTGCTGTCTTTCGTTCAGGTTTGTACATGAGGACATATTGGAAATGACTAGATTCCGAAACATTGGTCTGTGCTGCTGTTTGGAGATTCGTGAAGGTATTTATCGTTTCCGACCATCAAGAAAGTTTTTGTTTAGTGTCCTTTGTTGTTTTGTATATTACTGATGCTGCTCCTACATAAATATCACCATTAGAACCGACTGATGTACTTTTCTGTGCCATTTTTCTCTCTTTCCTGAGATAATCTGTTGATGTTACTGTTGTAGAGATGGAATATAGAACTAAGATCTGAAGGGACACTGAGTTGTTGACCCAGACGATACTTGATTTTGTAAGCAGGATGTTTGTGATTTCTACACCATGACTCCATGATTTCCTGAACGTTGAGCGAAGTGTTTTGAATGGCAAGGTATGACAATCAGACTTCATCCCAGATAAACTTGAGTCACTAGTTTCTTGAGTAAAGTTGAAAGTGTAATTCTGATTCCTTCTGGAGCAGAAATATCTACTGCTTGTTATAGTCCTGATTGGATTTCTTGTCTCGAACAAACTTGAATCAGCAGCATCTGGCGTTCTGCTAAATGAATAAGGGAAACCTCCAGATCCAGAACTTAAAGCTGCGGTTTTCTGAGTGTACAGGGAAGCTTTCAGCATGATAGGCGAATGTTGTGTTTAGTAAGCTTGAAATCTTTATGAAATTGGACCAGGGGAGAAGATAAAACTTTAAGCGATGAATAATGTACAACCAAAGGCATGGATCTGTAAACAAAAATAAAGTAAAATAATAAATTGTTTCTTACTCCTAAGAGATTCTGTGAATAATAGAAAAAATCGAATTTAGAAAGACTACATAATTCACTATTGTACTTCAAATAAAGAGTAATTCTACTTTCTTCAGAAAGTCATAACCCCATGATGGGCAGTAGGTGGTAGTTGTGTTAACCCCAGTCTATAACTGGTAAATTAGGGACAGCTAGCATATATAGCTCTCGAGAGTAGCTTTACGTGAAATTAGAAAAAACAACAACAATATATCTCATGTAACTTCATTAGATGTACAATGTAGTCACATCAGAAATTGAAGTGTAGTACTACATAATGTATGAGCGTGACGAGTAAAGGGGTCAAGATCGTCTATAAATGATAAAGAAAAGCAAGTATCTTCCGTGAATCAAGTATTGTGAAAAGAACAACGAGAACAGTGGTAAAGCTCTCTGCTACCTCCTGGGATCGAGCCTTTTACTTTTCACACACCAAACAATCACTCTGTCGCCCACTGTAATTCAAGCTACCTGCTTACCACATGTTAAAGTACTAACCAATTTTTCGTTACTAAAATGATCTAGCTTTTACACTACGAATTATTATGTGTACAGGAAGTCCCCATTAATTAAAGTGTATTTAATTAGTGCAATACCTATTTATAGAAGCTCTGTGTTTTAGCAGGATATTAGATCATCTTTCATTGGCTCATTAAAGGAGTGTAGATTCGAAACCAAAGAGGCTATTAGCGTTGGTTTCTGTTAATATTTATTTGATATTTCCAGAAATTCGTCGCTGCAAATATGCCTAAAACGAAAAGAAGATTGCTCAATTTTTAATGAAACTAAATTTGTAAATACTGAAAGAACAAAATAAAGAGATGAAATAGATATAGAGAATCGGCTATTCTACAAAGAACACCTCTCCGTTTTTTATGTTTACACAAACAGTAAATTTACATTAATTTGTATTTTAAGAATATATAGACATGTAACACCAGAAAGATAAATCTTAATTTTAGAAAAAAAAAAAACTGTCTCAAATGAAAATAGGTATAGTTTCAAACTTGGTATGTAAACCTAAAAATAATGATTTTGATACACATATTCATGCGTGTGTGTGTGTTAATATGTGTTTATTTATTCATACACATTTGTAGAACACTTCATCAGTTGTATACGAATAATTGACTAATCATGTGTCCCCTAGTGGTTCAGCCAAAAGTCTGAAGGCTTATAAGTCTAAAAACTTGGTTTTGATACACATGGTAGGCACAGCACAGATATCACATTGTGTAGTTTTGTGCATAAATATGTGCACTAATTATGTGGGGTATTAAATTACTGTTTGAGGCATATAAATATACAGATGTACTGATATCCTACATCCAAGACAATGAGTTAGAATATGCAGTTATGAGGTATTCAAAGGTAGATATCTGTCCAACAGGTACACTGTATAAAAAGTTCATGTAAGCTGCACTCATTGCAACACACGATTAAATTTCAAACACAAATTAAAGTCGATTAATGTAAACTTGAATAATTATAACGTTTGTTTGTTGTTAGTTATTTAGTGTTATGGCTATATTACATTCATCTTTATAGTGCATGTCTCAAAATGTGTGGCAACCAAGAAACAACATTCAGTTTCCTGAATTTTCTCTCACTGTTTTCTGGTGTATTCCAGGCCTTTAGGATCAAAATATCTGACCCACTTCGAATTGGTTAGAGTTTCTTTTTAACTTTTAACAAAAACATTATCTACATAAAGTCTACAACACTTCTGTTCAATAAGAGAAACATGGGCTTTGAGACTCCCATAATAACAGGAATAGGAACTACTGGTTGGTTAGTAGCTTGGTAAACTAAGTTCTGTTTTTTCTTCTTTCTTCATTCTATGGATGTACATGAACTCAAATTATGAGACCACAGAAAACTGACGAATGGGGAATTGAGATATTATGTGTGTGTGGAACAGGGTTATTACCTTGATTTTCTCTGTATAATGTCTTGAATATAGTCAGTTTCATTAGAGCACATGGATCCGATTCTCCTGCTAACAGCCACAATTCTGGAATTGCCATCACTATCTAGTAGGTGAACTCCTGTAATGATTCCAAAATATTAATTCCACCGTACAAGCTGGAGCGAGCAACTTTGATTTGTTCTCTAAAATTTTAACAGAAAACGTTATTTAGCTTAAAAAACACTCCACAGTAAAACATTACAGTAAAAATATCATGAAGTTAAAATTGTGTTAATCTGAATGTAAGCATTGGTTTTACATATGATGATAGTTTATTAATCTTCTGTTGATTTTAAAAGTCAATCTTAAAGCGTGTGTGGATTAACTTATGCATCAACAACAATTGCTAAGGTGTGAATGCTTTTTTTTCAAGCTAGTGAAACATGATTATAATTAATTTACTTGTCATCAGACATAAATGTTAAACCTATTGCATCTATAATACAGTGTTCTACATGTAATCCCTTTGGGGCCTTCAAGAATTAAAAGAGTGTACAATAATAGTATTCCAATCACACCAATTTCACTGTATCCATAGCCTATGATGTGTTTTGCTCAATCCAAAGCTCATCAATAGATTGCAGTGTTAAAAGATATATAAATTAATTATAATAATGCTTTGCTAGCTTGAAAAAAGTATTCACACCATAACAATTGTTGTGTAACAAATGACTTATTTAACTAGTGTTTAATGTGTTTCAACTGTATATTCTCATCTAGTCTACCACGCTATAATGGTATGGTGCTCGTTAGATGCGTAGCACCATGTGAACCTACTTGTGGGAGGTTGTTCTGCTGCAGCTTTGTAGCTAGTTTCAGCCATTCTCTGAACTCTAGATCATGTACCACCCTCTTCTGTAGTCATGTCTATACCAGCAGTAGCCATATTTACATACTTATTTTTAACTTATACCACTTATAGTACTTTGCCTGACTTTCATTCTTTTTTTCCACCTCTCTTTAGGGCTAATTGTTGGAGTTTCAATTATATTGCTAATTACACCAAATTTATTTAGGTGAGGATTGCAGTGGCGAGTGGAGCTCATAAGTCACTAACTCGATATAATTTACAGTTAGAATAAAGAAACAGATTCCAAGACTAACATTGAACAAAATATAACAACATTTATTACGTCTTCCTACAAAGTATACACTGTTAATACCAATACTTAAACATTTACTAAACCGTTAGTTTCTCACAACTTTCACCTTTCAGTTAACAAATTTCCTATAACTACATTGATTGATCAAGAAAGATAGCAATTCTCTACTTACAACAGAGTTGAGCCAATATACTTTTGGAGGTTGGAGATCTTCAGGCTCATAGTGGCAAAGTTCAACTAGAACAACTTGAACAAAAACTGAAAAACTCTTGAAAAACTAAAAGCAACTGATTTTTGGGCTTCAGACATGAGTTTTTAACCCATATTTTCTGTGTATTCTGTTAATCTTTCAAATAGTGTTCCTAACTGTCCACAAGTAGTTCTAACACTTTATTGGTCAATCTATGCAACTTTCCAGGCTAGTCCAAAACCATAACCAAAACTCTCAAGTGATTAGTTACTGTTATGGTGAGTTAGCCAGTTGCCTTCTCACTTGTGCTTGTATACCAGCATCATGTAAGGAATATATCATCAAAGTACCACTTTTGCATGTTATCATCAACTTTTTTGTAGCTTCCACAGTACTAACGAGTTGGCATCAGTAATTAATCACTGCCAATCACTTATGCTAGCGTATTTCTCAACATCTCTGACCTAGCTTAATTTTCTATAACTCTTAAGTCGTGATTCACTCACTCTCAATACCACTTAACCAGCTAGCTGTACTTTCCTAGCTCTTGACCTTATTTCATAATACAGGCGTCTTTACTTACGCCATTTCTTCATGCATATGTTCACTTAATAACTCAGAAAATTGTTATAACTTCTTTATTAAACTCTTTAAAAAGGCTAAAATACTGAAGGAATTGTAAAATTCTCTCAAAAATATCCAATTGCTTCACAACCGATTGATGAGTTCTGGATTGATTGAAACTCGTCGTCAGCAATCAATACAATGAACACAGAGTGGTTAAATTATTATTATTATCATATACTCTTCTAATTCCTGAATATTCTTGACAGCTTAGATATAAAATTCAGTGTTAGAAATATACTAGAACTAATACTGATACATAATGATAAGTAAATTTGTTTATGAATCGTCTAGTTCTGCCTCTGGTGGCTCAGTGGCAAGAAAAGCATGTATAGCCAATAGTGAAACTTTGCCATAAACAACAAACAAACAAAATAATTTAATTCTAAATGCCATAAGTACATACTGAAGAGCAGTTTGATGTATGATTAAAATCACCAAAACTTAATTATCTAAAGAGTTTTGAATAAAAAATAACTGATGTGAAAAGAGATTGAACCAAAGAAATACTTTTTTCTAGACTAAATACCACAATAAAAACGTCTCTGTTGTCCCAGAGATAAAGTCGTTCCCATGTAATTGATTGAGACTGATCTCGCTACACTATGAAAGTATTTTCCGCACATATGTAAAAACAATCCTACAAGATCATGAAAAGATAAAACTATGGAAAGTGGTGTATCAGCGATGAGTTTGCAACTTTCCATCATTAGCAATGCTGCCATAAAAAGACTCTTGCAATCAATCATTTGGAAAGTAATCTCCTTAACAAAAATAATGAATGCTCTTTTCTGTTCTTCCAACTCTTTCTCAACTTATTTACTGTAGCAGTAGTTTATGGTTTTGCATGTCCATGTTCGCATCCCGTTACCAGAAAAAAAAAATCACACATTCTTCACTTTCAGGTCATGGTGCATTATAGGGGGTGATTTAAATATGTACTATGTTCTACGACATTCACCAAGTACGTGATCACGTATATTTCATTTATTATTCATCATTAAATTTCCGCGTTTCTTTATACGTGTTTTGAACCATTTGTAACAAGCAAGGGAAGTTAGTGTTATTATGATACACTACACCTATAAACCACTATTGTTATTACAAACCAATAAGGAAGAGGAATTAGTGTTCTTGTTATACATTTCACACTCAAAATCACTCTTGTTATCACGTACCAATATACATTAAATATTGTATTTCTATGTTGATTATTAAGATGTAACAAATCTTAGTTTAACAAATATACCATCAACATACATATATCCGGCAATATAAATGATCAAAGTTAAAGGACAGTTTTCTAACCATTGCTTTTCATGATAGAAAAGGATAAGGTGCTAATCTTGATTTCATTGCAATCCTCCCAATTTAATTATAAATATTGGTTTTACTTGTTTTGTAACAAAGCCACATTGGTGTATCTGCTGTGTCAACCTTGGGGAATTTAACCCCGGATTTTACCACTGTCTCACCAGGGGACATAATTATTTGTAATGAATAGAAATTAAATTCATTAATAGGAAATTTTAGAAATTTCTGAAAAACATGCTTTTGACATCTTGAAATAGCATGTTAATTTTGATAAAATAAAACAGCTGTTGATTGTACAGTCTCTCCAAATGGAAGTAGTGTACGAAGATTTCACATTAAAACTTACACAATAAACCGTTTTATTAAAGATTG